GTGTCTGTGTAATGCTGTCCGGATTCATCCTTTAGGCTAAGGAATAAAGCAGCTCATTGTTGTTCCGGACAGGCATGCCAACAATTGGATTACATTCGGAAACCTGCTATAGCCTTATTATTTAATCACCAGCCATTCTCCTCTCGCTTAGTGTTGCCTCTAACAAGGAGAACGAACTCCAATAACCTCAGCAGTCGCATGCCAAGTAAATTGCCTGGCAAAAATCGTCGCTAGCCTCATAGGCTTTAATGAGTGTTCGCTTTCAGAAACATAATGATGTATTGTGAATCTTTAGCAAAATGAATCTTTAATTTTACTACATTTAATATTCTTTTTATATACTTCATAGTAAGCAATATAACATATTTCTGGTTAAATAACTTCCCGTATGAATTCCATAGATAGGCAGATCACTCATCCACTGTGAAATCTTCCCATCCATATTGTAATATGAATTTCTGTGGGAAAAAAGCCTTAAAATGTTTGCTTGCGATTAAAGAGCACCTTTTACAGGTATGGGCTCATTATTATTTGCTTGGACAGTTATAGTCTCATGCTACAAGTTTAACCTCTGTTAAATCAACACAATGTTTTATTTATTTACCATTGGTATTTATATAGCGCTGACAATTTTTACACAGCGCTTTACACAGTGCACATTCATCCCTGCCTCAAGGAGCTTACAAAGTCCCTACTACACATACGTACATGGCCAATTTAGACAGGAGCCAATTAACATTCCAGCATCTCTTTGGAGTGTGGGAGGAAACGGGAGGATACCCACACAAGCACAGGGAGAACATGCAAATTCCCTACAGATTGTATTCTGACCAGGATTTGAACCAGGGAATCCTAGTGCTACAAGGCAGAAGTGCTAACCACTATGCCACTGTGCTGTAGCAATGAAGTGACATATTCCTTGTTCTGCATTAACACAGCCCCATCCCTCTTGTTGGTGTAGGCAAAAAAGGGCATGCTGCTGCTTGATACTGGTTCTCACAGAAACAATTGCCGCACAAAAACGATTGGTATCACAAGCTAGATACTGTTTATTCCCGAAGTCAAAATATCTCTATGAATAAGTCGTTTGGTGAAACATGTTAGAGTTGGAGGAGCCTGTGTTTGTTTACAGCATGTTTTGACTTCAAGAATAAACAGTATCCAGCTTGTGATACCAGTTGTTTGTGTGGAAATTGTTTCTGTGCTCCATAATATGTTATCAATTGTAAGTGTAGTTTAGGCTCATCATACACATTACAATCTGACAATACAATCTCTATACAATCAACTATAGATGTAGCAAAACTATGTAATATGAGGACCTACTCTAAACTATCCAGTCAATCTGTATTCAGTTAGGCAGGCCCTTGTACTACATACTTGTTGGTAGATATTGTAAAAACAAGTTGTAATGTGTGTGGTGAGCTCAAAAAGGATAATATCCTATATGATTCACGTGAAGTATAACTATGCGAACCTGTGCAGGTTATACACATAAGGCTCAATTTAAAAAAAAGTGAACGTAATTTTCAGTTGAGTCCCACCACACAGCTGATAATAGGGTCCCTCAGGCTTTTTTTTTTTTAAAGCTTTGCAAATTGAGCTTATGGGATTGTACAACTAGATGTGTGTGTAGGGATGTCGTATTTCTGCTAAATTCCTTCTTGCATTTTTGTAGCCAGCAGTGTCCCGCAGTCAACCTATCTGTACTTCAACAGGAGCATTGAGTGAATTTTCTCTGCCACGTGTTGTTTGAACGTGCTTTGGCAGGGCATGCTGGAGAAGTATCCTTCTGTGTTATGGATGTACAATAGCATAGCTAATCAGCAGGCTTGGGGGGCCAGGTGATGGGGGGCCAGATGTCTGGGACACGTTCTGTTTGCACTCATCCTTCATGGGCTTTTGCCTTGTGTGGATGTCACCTTAGAAGATCTCTCTCCTCATGTCTAGGACCCTGGGGGTTGGAAGGACGCAGAGATTTCCCCTCCTGGGAGGTATTCCTGAAAATGTTGAGTGCTGGAGACAACAGGGTAAGGCCTAAAGGAAGCAAGCAGTGCCTGCCCCAACATATAGAGATGCGGTGAGTAACTGAGTGGAGAGCATGCACAGGAACCTTTCCATGTTATCCTACCTTGGAACAGAAAGATTGAGATACCACCTAAACCACAACTGCCACAGAGCCAGAGCTCTGAAAGAGCCCACAAGGCATAGTCTGTGTTTAGAATGTACAAAGAAGCTTTACAAAACACATTTGAGAATGAATAGATATAGATAGATAGATAGATAGATAGATAGATAGATAGATAGATAGATAGATAGATAGAGAAGAACCAGTCCACACAGATAGTCTTTTCTTGGTTTTATTTGAAGGTATTAACAGAACAAAGCACACGTTCGGCCACCCCCGAATGGGATGACAGCACAGTTCTTGATAGTTGCATAGTGATGCAAATTAGAGAGAGAGAGGTACAGCACAGGTGCAGCTCAGAGTCCATGACTTACTTCGGCCAGAGGCCCACTGGCAAATATCGTCAGTCTTACAGCTTCTCACTATACTCCGGAATCCCATCCTTGTCAGTCCTAGCTCGGTGGTTTCCCCCTTCAGGGGAAACTGGGGAATCTTTGTAGCTCTACATAGTCCCAGGCCTGGTCCTGTCCTTCCCATGGACCAGCCTATGTTTAAGAAACAGTCTCCCTCCGGAGACTCTGCAAACAGTCTTAGACTTCTGCTCTCCTGTACTGAACTCCACAACTCTCCTCTCTTCCCCTCTCGGGCGCCCCCTATAATCAACTCTCCTGGGACACAGAGTCTCCCCAGGCCAGAGCTACATCTATCTCCAGGGCCCCATGGGGGCATCTAGTGGCCATTGGCCGTACTGCACCTACCTACAAGCTGCTGTGTTTTTGTGTCCATATGATTGTATGGACTGAATATGTATTGTGGGTATACAATTGTGAAAGCAAGTATCGGTATTCACAGACACATTTGTGTAGATTGTGTAGATTCCAAAACACTAAACTTCCGAGTATGGGAACTGGTCGGCATGCATGTAAGCTTGTGTTTACATGCATAAACCTACATACAGCGTATTCTGTCCATGCAATCCTATGGACATGACAATGCAGAAGCTGGGACTCCAAAGCACTGCAAATACAAGTGCATGTTACTGTATGGCCATATACAGTATTTGTATCTCTGTGCATAAGGACTTATTTGTATATTTGCTGACATGGCAATAGCAGCAGATATTAATACAGGTTCTAGGCTCATTTGCAACATGCTCTACACCTTACCAGTACACTCATTATTAGCAGCCAAATATACAATATGTGTATATATCACCCACCTCCTTTCCGCCGAACGTAGCAAAACGGCCAGACGGGAGCCTTGTAGATGTGGCTGGGCATCTTAAAACGTCCTATGTGACCGCACCTGCTCGTACGTACCGCCTGGCTGCACAAATGAGAAACTGTCAAAATTTGAAACAGCCAGTGATGGCTGTTTACATACAAGCAAACCAGCATCTGCACAGACGCCCAATCGCTTGTATGTCGCTCCTCCATTGCCGCTGCCACAATACAGGGTTCTCTGTGCTCTGTGTGGGCCTGGGACCGGCATTGTGGCTCTGTGCAGGAGAACGGAGGGAGATCAGTACACAATCTCCCTCCAATCTCCTCCCCGTTCTGTGAATGCAAGTAATGTTTATTACTCTGCTTCATCAGCTTCTTTCGGGGGTCCCTAGGTGACATTAGAGATCTTAGAAACCCCTGATGTCTCCATAAAGAGGACCTGTCACTGTAATTTGATATCACATAGGGTGCTTCTCCTATGCGATAACAATAAAGTTAAGTGTAAAAAAAAGTCACACACAAAAAAAACAAACACAATTTTTTTAACTCCACTCCCACATACACGCACAAAGATGCGTTGGGTGCGCCGACCTGTGAAAATGACGATTGCGCCCATTACACCACACATGTTACATATCACTGTGAACGTCAGAGTGTGAGCAATAATATTAGGGCCATCAATCACTGTTAACACTAAATTGATGAGTGGTAAAAGCTTTTAAAGCGTCGCCTTTGGCCAATTTTGGGTGTGGTAGTTTTTTGCGATTTCACAGGCATGCGCAATTTTAAGGCTTTTATATTTTACCAAAAAAATTGGGTAACAATGTTTCATAACAATAGGGGAAAACAGTTTTTTTTTTTTTACATTTTTGGTCATTTTTTTCATTTTATAGAAAAAAAATAAAAAAATCAGTGGTGATTAAATACCACCAAAAGAAAAGCTCTATGTATCCCCAAAAAATGGTATGAAATTCATTTCAGTACACAGTTGCATGACTGAATACAGGTCAAAGTACTGCAGTGCTGAATACTAACAAATGCCCTGGCCAGGAAGGGGGTGTAAACACTGCGGTCTTCAAGTGGTTAATTCATCAGTCTGTACATACTTTTAATTATACTGTTAAACCTGACTGTTTAACAAACTTATTATAATGTATTATTTTGATGCTAGGTGATCATCCTGATTTGAAGAGTGGTCACATGTATTATAATATATAAATGATTGTATTATATACCTTTAATGTGTAAATGCATGAATGAATGTGTATTTTGTAATATTGTGATTTAGTTAAGAAAATTCTAAACTTTTCGGTTTTCATTTAAATCTGAATTGTAAGGGCAAATGGCATCCTGTATCCAAATACATTTTTTGTTTCATAAAAATGAGGCAAAATATTTTTTAAACCTTTTTAGACATCTATATTTGTAAAAACATAAAATGTAACTTTTCTTCCCTAAAATGACCTCTTCTGAAATTAGTTCACGGGCTGCGAGCCAAGCATTTAATTTCCTGACCCTTTGTGTGAGCTTGGAGTATTATCCATGCCACACCTCTTGTCAGGCGATTGGTCTTTGAGGATGGGTAGTGTTGGACCCCTTTCTTCTAGCAAAGGTCCAGCCCCCATCAGCAGTTGCAAGTCTCCCAATAAGTAGGGCTGCCATGTAAAGCAGGACAGAGCATCTCCTAGCCAAGGGAAAAAAAGCCATTTAAACCTTACACAGTGCTCTCTCTTACATACCTGCTGCTAAAATGGTAGATGCTTTCTGTGCCACCTGGAAACTGGTTGACAGCCAGAACTTTGATGAGTACATGAAAGCCCTAGGTGTGTGTGCATCCTTTAATCTGCAGATTTGTGCAGCATCTGCTATAGATAACGGAGACAACGTGTACTGAGCATCAAGCCAGCCTTCTGTAACGTGCCTCCTATTAACCACCTGCAGTCTGTACTCATGAAGTCAGCTGGTAGATTGTTACAGCCAGTAGATACTTCTGCTGATATGCAGGCGGATAACCTAATCGCAGGAGAACTCTCTAATTATTCATGTTGGCTAAATATTTTAGTGCTTACTAGATTGCATCCATAGAAGTTGTTTCCAAAACTCTGACTGCTTACCTTTCTGTTCTCTCCAGGAGTTGGCTTTGCTACCAGACAGGTTGGCAATGTGACCAAACCCACTGTCATCATTAGCCAAGAAGGTGACAAAGTGGTGATCAGGACCCAGAGTACATTCAAGAACACAGAGATCAGCTTCAAGCTCGGGGAAGAATTTGATGAAGCCACAGCTGATGACAGGAACTGTAAGGTGAGAGCTCGGCAGAGAACGAAGAATCTTATAGTAGATACAATTGAGAAGGGGAATGGGCAAGGAAGGGGGGCAGGAACAAAGCAGCTTGCTCTAGATTGTTGAAGCTTTGGAACTTGGCTTTTGTGTGCCTTTCTCAAAGCAGTGAGGTTAAACGAAATGAGAAATGACTGACTTTTGTTGCCAACAGCATTGTATTTTAAATAGGCAACTGAACGTATTTGGATTTTAGGCTTTTTAGGTGCTTTACTATGTTTTCCAATGTAATTTGTTTTGCATATTTGACTATAGAACTCATTAAAGTAAGATTCCTGTGATTACTGTATGACCAAGAAGTACGCTTCCAAATTATATGTTTATTTTTACTTTATAAGCAGTTGCCAGGTTATTCCCTAGAGAATGTAATTGCTAATTAAATGTCACCGGTTGGAAATCATTTTGAAGTGTCCAGAGAATTTTACAAAACATACTGTCTATAAGAATACACCATGTAGAGTTGAGAAACTATAGTCAATGTTTTTAGCTCCTGTGCCAAAATCCAAATCAGCTCTATCTGTCAGCTTCGTTTTATAAGAAGTTTGTTTTTACTAGTGTTAACTGCTGATTGTTTAACTAACAGAAATAACTTTTTAGCTCTCCGGCTAGTTCTGCTGTTACATTATTTTATTTGAAAAAAAAAACCACCCCATTAATGTCTCAAAGCACTTAGAAAGTAATAAGTAGCTCCTCAA